CTGGTCAACCACCGGCAGACCCACACCACCGGCCTCTTCCGCTGCGCCGCCTGTCACAAGGCCTTCTACAACCTGATGGCCCTGAAGAACCACCGGCGCACCCACGCCGAGCGCCGCCGGCACCGCTGCGGGCTCTGCCCCAAGGCTTTCCGCCTGCGCCGGCAGCTCCTGGGCCACCAGCGCCTGCACCCCCCTGCCACCGGTGACCTACAGGCGGACAAGGGGCCGCCAGCGCAGCCGGACGCCGTGGAGACGGTGTCGGAGGACTCACCGGCGCTGCCAACGGCGTTATGGGCGGCAGAGGTGTCTATGGGACACCTGGATGGGATGGAGACGGTGTTGGAGGACTCTCTGGCACCACCGGCCACGTTACAGGCGGTGGAGGGACCTCCAGGACACCTGAACACAATGGAGACGGTGTTGGAGGACTCCTCGGTGCCACCACCAACAGTACAGGTGGAGGAGAAGTCGGTGGGACGCCTAGATGCGATGGAGACGGTGTTGGAGGACTCTTTGGCACCACCAACAACGTTACGGGCGGCAGAGGTGTCTGTACAACACCTAGACGGGATGGAGACGGTGTTGGAGGACTCCTCGGCACCACCAACCACGTTACAGGCGGCAGAGGCGTCTATGGGACACCTGGACGCGATGGAGATGGCGTTGGTGTCCCCCTCGACACCTCAGACCGCGTTGTCGGCGCTACAGGCGCCTCCGGGACACCTGAACGCACCGCTGACGGTGTTGGAGTCCTCCCCGTCACCCCAGACGGCGTTATCGGCGCCGGGGGCGTCCCCGGTACACCCCAACCCGCGGGAAACAGGGTGTGAGTCTTCCTCAGCGTCCGACCCTGCGGGACACCTGGACGCGGCGGTGACGGTGTTGGAGTCCTCCCCGGCGCCCGCTGTTGGAGTCCTCCCCGTCACCCCAGACGGCGTTATCGGCGCCGGGGGCGTCCCCGGTACACCCCAACCCGCGGGAAACAGGGCGTGAGTCTTCCTCAGCGTCCGCCCCTGCGGGACACCTGGACGCGGCGGTGACGGTGTTGGAGTCCTCCCCGGCGCCCGCTGCGCCGTCCCGCGGCCCCCCGAGCGCCCGT